AAGAATTGTGAATTACTTGTTATGGAGACATAGAAACCAATTATGGGATACATGGGGATATATTTCTGGGTATGTTTGAGTATGAAAGTTTTAGGACTTTAATGTTCATATTTCCCTGGAAACAAGGGTAGATCTAAGAACAGGTATATAAAGGTTAGACAACAGTCACATGAAGTAGGAAATTAGGGGGCAGCAAGTGAAAACATAGCAATATTGAAGAAATAACAAAGGTTGGAGTGATAGGAAACTTATGTCCTCAAACTTTTCACTTTCAAATAAAGAAACAAATTCCCTGGAAATAGTAACCAGCTAGAAATACTATAAAAAAGTATTAATATTTAACTGAAAGCTGTACAGTTCTAATAACCACAGAATCCTCCTACTTCCTGTTGAAGCAACACTAATAAGCCCTATTCATGTACTAGCCATCAAAGGCTTTTCTTGTGATCTCTTTTACAGCATGCTAACCCATATCTTCTCCTTCTAAGCCAAGGCCTCCTATTAGATCCACAACTTTTCAAACTTTTTTTTTTTTTAGTTTTAGGTGGACAAATACCATCCATTTATTTATTTTTATGTGCTGCTGAGGATTGAACCCAGTGCCTCATACATGCTAAGCAAGCACTCTCCACTGAACTACAACCATAGCCTCTAGACCCACAACGTTTTAGGCCATGATGATTTACTCTAAACTGTCCCTGCCATCCTCCTCTAACATTTGCTCCTCTGTAGTTTGGAATATAAGAATCAATGCTGCATACTGCAATTCTGAAATCAAAGTACATATTGGAGGTGAAATAAATACATGATTCTATTAATATGCCATAAAATCTTGGATTTTTTTAGAGGAAGTTTGATAAGTATTATCCAAACTTAATCAAGCCTGTGATGTATTAGGTTATTGCTTTCAAATTAGCTTGACTAATAGAATATGAAAACAAAATGCAAATCCAAAATTTATAAAAATTTGGTGATGCTTCTTAAAAATTAATTTGCCTTAAGATGGCAGTATTGGTCTTCCTAAGATGTGGGAAAGTTTTACAGAGAGCTTCATGAGGAAAGTGCAGACTTTCTAAACAATCACCCTCACATAGACAGACACAGAAACCCATGCTTATCAAAGAATTGGATGGATGTAATATACGTACAGATTAAACTAAAAGTCTATACAAACAGTGATAATGGGTAAAAACACAAGCAGTGCAAATCTGATTGACAAGTTAGTTAATTAAAAGCAACAAGGAGAAAAGGTTTGGGATCACAGAAGGGATTACTCACAGTGACAAGTCTTCCAAATTATTTTGTTTCAGCGAAGAAGGAAGAATCAATAAGTGAAATTAAAAACAAACAAGCAAACAAACAAAATCCTCTAGGAAAATATTGTATGTTAATAAGTTTAGTGAAAAACTCAGTTTATAGAGAAAATATCTTGGGCAGAGGCCATATTATGATATTAACAGTAAGTTGTATGATTTTGTGAAAGGGTAAAGATTCCTGATTATCAGTCACTGGGGAGTACTTCTCATACAAGTTTCATTAACATTCCAAGTTGGTTCATCCATGTTTGGTCAAATCCCTTACAAATCTTTACAGCCTGATTAATTTGAAATACAAAATATAGCAACCCTTATGTTTCTCAGAGTTTCTGACTCATTGCATAGAATTCATGAGTATTTTAACAAATAATTCAAAGAAAAAAATATGCTATAGGATATAAATAATGATGACCTTACAGTTAGCCTAGGTCACATTCAAAGCAAAAGTAAAGTAGCCAAAGTAAATTTTCAGAGCTTCAAACATAAAAAATTGTTTTTCAAGACTATATGTCAGGTTAGTGGAAGATATATATTGCATATACTATATTTCATCATATAATTGTTTATTTTATCATGCAATCATAATCTTACCTGCATCTGAGCCACTAGAATATTCTGTATTCTGCTTCAGTCATTTAGTAAATTATTATTTCTTGAAACAAACATAATTTCTTCAAATTAATATTAATTGTCCTAACAATCTCAGGTCTTCCTTCTTTACTCACTTTTTATTTTAAAAATACATGAAAACTAGGACATGAGACCTTTTAAACAATTAAAATTCCTTGAAACACATATCTCATATTTTCTTAAGGATATTTTGCACATAAGATTTAATTTTCATATAATTTTAATTAATTGAGTAACATTGCCAAAATGTCATTTGCAGCAGAATCTCATGTGCCTTGGGACAATTATTGAGGCAAGAATTTATCATGATTAGCATATATCCACTTAACATTAAACACAAAACAAAAGGAGAAGTATGCAGAGCAAATCAATGGAATCTTAACAAGGAAAGAAAATAATCAAAAAATCGTAGTTACTGACACAAATATCAGAGAAATAATTTAAAATAGTTGAAAATGACTTGAGAGGTAAAAATAAAATCATTCATTTTTGTCTTTGAAGTAGAATAAATGAGGATAAAAAAATTCACAAAACATGAGATTGTCCTGATAATCAACAAATTCACAATCAATAAAAGATGTAAATTTGAAATTTTGAGCAAAGAATTTTCTAACTTCTGTGTGAAATCTCATGTTTTGCGAATATAATATATATATATATATATTCTAGAATATTGTCTAGAGAAAACAATTTAATTTCTCTCTTTACTGCAGGTTAAAGTGTCAGATTTAATGACATCACATGTGAAATTTTGATTTTAGACTGACAAAGATGTATATTTATTTGCACAGGAGAAAATATAATACCAATGCTTGTATATGAGATGTTACCTAGTTCAAAATCTAATTCATCAATTTAAGTTATGAGTCTCCCTTATTGAATACTGTATCACAGTTTTTAGTACATGTTCATTTTACATTTGTGTGATAATAATGATTTTACTATTTGGAAAATTATATGTTGCCACTCTATGTACCTTTATCTATATCCAATGTGTATCTGTATCCAATCCGGCATTTGTCTTTCCTTGGTGGCATCAGTGTTCTGTAGTTGGCTGAGCAGGGTATTTTGAATCAGTTGATGATAGGCATCAGTTCCAAATACGATTCCAAATAAAAAATGGAGCTTTGTTCAGTGAAAACAATTTGTTGGATGCTGCTAAACTTTCTGGTATCCGTAATAAGAGTTTGGTGTACTATTTTTTTTTGGTATACCAGCCAGTAACATATGAGCTGCACAGTATGATCAATATTCTTGAATGATGACTTTGGGACTGTTAGTAATCTTCAACAAAGTAAATAATCTTATGAAATCGTATATTTTATCAGTCCTATTAGATTCAAATTAATTAACATCATTTTCAGGAACCTCTAATATAAATTTAAATCTCATTCTATTTTAACAAGAATCATTTCTTGTTTTTTAGCTAGTTGCCGATTTGAAACCTGATATATACATGGAAATGACCATTAACAATAGCACTTAATGCAGTTACTTAGCAACATTTCCTGAGCTAAAAAAAGTGTAATCCTTTTAATTATTTCTGAAAGATAAATGTGACAACTCAAATTGAAAGTCAAAATTAAGTGAACCTATCTATAAAATCAAAATGTTTGGTTGTTTATGTCAACAGTTCACTGATAGATATTACTCAATTCAAGAAATATGTGTTATATTTAATGTGAAAAAATCAAAGTACTATTGAAAAAACCTTAAATTTAGTGTGTGTTCCCTGCAGTTCTACATTACTGAGTTCTAAACACCATGATAGTCACAACATACGTTGTTATATGCATGTAAGATTACTGAAGAACACTGCTTGCTAAAAATGTGATGGGTAGCATGGAGCACTCATAGACATTTATGTAGATTTATATCAAAAAGAATTAACACATCCCTGGCTTCTCATAACACTTAAATTGAAAGATAAAGAATGAAAATAAATTATCTATGAAATATAAGGAAATGGGTAACAATATGCAAGAAATAATCTATACCTACCTGAGAAAAATGAAAATTTTAAGATAGAAATATAGTACAATCAGATATGTGTTTTAAAAACTTATTTAGAGAGTTCATGAGCAGAAAATGGAAAACTGGCAATGCGGACACAATAAAGCTGTTGCGAAATCATTTTCATTAGAAGCACAGGACTTTATATTTCTTACCATGTTTAAAGCTTTGTCACTACACATAAATTTATAAGTTATTTTTAAAAAGAAGAGACTTAAGGGCTGAGGATGTGGCTCAAGTGGTAGTGCGCTCACCTAGCATGCGTGAGGCACTGGGTTAGATTCTCAGCAACACATAAAAATAAAATAAAGATATTGTGTCCACCTAAAACTAAAAAATAAATATTAAAAAAGGAAGAGACTTAAGCTTGTATTCTTGGGAATTTTTTAAAATAACCAAGTGGATTATAGGAAAAATCTAACAATCATACTCATATAGTACAAAATAAATAGGTTCCTCACCTTTAGATGCCATTGTAAAATTTAGTCCAAAACCTACCAGAAATTGTACAAAGTCAGAAAAAAAGTGCTTCTTTAAAGACAAACCAATAACATTAACTTTTATTTATTTATATTTCCTTGAATTATATTTAAATTTCTCTTTCGTACTCTATATATAGTTATCATCAATATGCAGAATAAAACAATTGAGTCTTTGTGAAGTTGTTACATTTAGAAGTTTTAGAGCTGTTTTTCAACTTAGATTCATCTTTATTTTTTTATTTTATAAAATACTAAAAATACAAAAGAAAGAATCAAATAACAAATTCTCATAACCCATCTTAAAGTATTATCAATTTATAGTCCCTATTCCATTCTGACCTTCTCTAGTATTATTTCCAAGATAATCTTTCACAACATGTTTCTTCACCATAGCTATTTTGGCATGTACTCAAAAAACATTGCCATAAAAACATTTTCCAACTTGAAAATTTTGACAACTTAAAAAACCCTGAATATCAATTAGTGTTAATGTTTTCCCAAATCATTTCATGAATGGACTTAGTTTAAGATTTTCAGTCTTCCGCCTTGGGCCCGGAAGGGTGATGTGGCTGGGGCATCGCTGGCCTCACTATGTCTGCCATTTTCAATTTTCAGAGTCTATTGACTGTAATCTTGCTGCTTATATGTACCTGTGCTTATATCCAGTCCTTGGCACCCAGCCTCCTGGACAGAAATAAAACTGGACTATTGGGAATATTTTGGAAGTGTGCCAGAATTGGTGAACGAAAGAGTCCTTATGTTGCAGTATGCTGTGTAGTGATGGCCTTCAGCATCCTTTTCATACAGTAGCTTGGAAAAATGCCAGAATTTAATTGCCATCAGACTTCAGTGTGAACAAGGACTTATCTGCAAAAAATAATGGAAAGAATAGTTAACCCTTTTATCTCTGAACATTGAATGAGAGAAATTTCCAGATGGTGTTCTCTATTTTTATGTTATTGGACCAATGTTCTGTATAAATAACTAAGATACAACCATTTGATACACAGAGTTTAATAGTCTGTAACAATCAACCTCAGTACTGTTGCTACAATATTACATTTTGTGCAAATGTCATTCTGTTGTGTCTGATATCAGTTTTTAGTAGGGTATTTTTAAGGCACATAGTAGAAAACAAAATTGGTGAATTACTCAAGTTCCTTTCACTGTGATTTAGAAATGATAAGTCTTTACAGAATGAGACCTTTTTGGATTAGCTTTTTAATTGAGAAATGGTTCAATTTTGTGTTGGTAAGGATTGTATTCATATTCAATAATGCTTACTTTTCCTCTGGCCATACGAGTTTGACCATTAACCAGAGTGCCTCTACTCTTAACAAATTTTGTAGTTTATTACAGGTGTTTAAAATATTTAAAAACAAGCCCATGCAGTTCTTAAGGAGTCAGATAAATGGGATGTGACTTAAAAGCAGTACTAGGAAAATGTTTATATTTAATATAAGAGGATTTAGACTAGGCTGATTGACTATGGATATGTCTTAAGCATGAGTTGGACCAGCTAGCTGTTGTTCTCTGAAAAAGATAACATTCTTAGAATGAAAAGAACAAAACAGAATGATTTGTAGGATGAAAATTCAGTGGTTTTTATTCTTTTTAATGTTGACTTTTCAAAATGTTCATTTATTTTAGTTGCCCCCCCAAATGAACTGAATTTTTGTTTAATTATTTAAAAAAAAAAGATTTTCAATCAAATTTTAAACATTGACATATTTTAATTATTGATACAGCAGTAATCTATGTGCCTGTCCTTTCTTTGTTTTACACTTTTCATTCATTTATAGTTGTAGTGACTATGCTGCTTGACTTATTCTTGGTCTATAGTTTCCCTTACTATGGATATTGATGATATAATTTTACATACTCTATTGATTCTTACATTTCTGTGGATTAGTCAGTATAGCAGGGAGACTTCTGAAGATTCTGTTCTAAGTTTCTTAGCAAAACTTATTCATGTTGTTTTTCTATAAAAAGGTATACAATGTTTTATTGGCTATTTTTGCAAACATCGGTAATGATTGGTTAAAACCATCATTTCACTGTGGTTGTTAAGTAGTATTCATAATTCCATTTACCATCCCAATTTATATTTATAATAGTTCTATATAAAAAACTGATTTACTAATATTTAGTATGATGAAATAAAATCTATAAAAATACATTAAAAATAAATCTTTGATTCTTATCTTTTTTCTTTCAAGATTTTCAAATTATTGATTAGACAGTTGATTTTTTTAATCGGTGTTAATTCTTGAATTTAAATATATAAATAGCTTAACTAAAATTACTATCCATACTGATTCTCAAATTGTTGTATCTTTGTTCATCAGGACCTTGTTGATATTGATACACTAGACCTAATTTTTAAATTATATTTTTGACCACTTATTGCCAAAATTTGGGAGTCTTAAAATTTTTTTAATTACACATCAACATGTCCTAATTTTACTTTTTTACTCCAACCACATGCCACCTATATAAGACTTTATATGCATCCAATTTGCAATTATTCTGTGTTTAAAATATGCTTAAAATGTATCATCTATCCTTTCATAATAATTCTGATGTTCTGGGTCCAAGCTTCTAAGAGTGTAGCCTCCCTCATTTATATACTCATTAATCTATTTTGTTTTTGTGTATTTGTGCTGCCATAACAAAATACCTGATATTGGGTAATTTATACAATAGAAATAATTTCTTACAGTTCTGGAGGCTGCATAGTCCAAGATTATAGTGCCAGTATTTGATTTGATGAGAGTCTTTTTGTTTCCTCTTCATGTAGCAGAAGGTCAAGTTAACCAAACACTGCATGAAGCCTCTTTTACAATGGCCTTAATCCCATTAATGAGAGAGGAGCTCCATGTTTTAATTATGTCTGAAATGCTCTCTCTCATAATATATCACATTGGTGACATGTGAATTATGAAGAGGATTAAATTTCAGCATGAATTATAATTTTTCAAATTATAGCAGGATCTTTCAGAGACACATTTTGTGGTATTTTGGCGTCGACACTGGAGCCAGTTTGACTAGGTACATCTGTAAATTATAAATTGAAGAGCCTGAACAAATAATTTAAATCCTAAGTTTGACTTTCTCATTTATAGAATGAAAAAGATAATAATTCCTGTCCAAAAGAATTCTGTTCAATATTATATAAATTAATGTATGCAAAATACTCTGGAGTGTACTTATCACATATACTATATTTGCAGATTTTCTTTTGTTTTCTATTGCATAAAATTTCTTGCTCTTATCCTGAAACAAATTCTCTGATAAAAGGAAAATTATATAATCCTGAAATAATGATACTCAGCCTATAGTTCTATACTTGTTTGCTATTTTTTTTAAAAAAATATCTTATGCAAGAATATAAAATGCAGTGATGCTGAACTCAGCAAAATTAGTCCACAATTGAATATTCTTAATCTAGGAGGTAGCTACAGTAGTTTTTTTATACACCTGAAAAGTGCAGTACTACATTTGCTTAATTTGTTAAACTAAAGAATTTAGACAACAAAAATAACTCAAAGGAGCACATGCAATATGTATTGTGAGAATTCTTATGGATGAATCCATAGGTACAAATTGTTCAGCTGAATAGAAATTGAACATTTCTATGTATATTTAATGATTTAAAATTCTAATTCATGTGAGAAAAGCTTTCATATTATATCTATTCACAATTTTTTAAAAGCCACATTATATTCTTTCTTCTCTATTCATTATTAATGTATTATTTAATATTCTTGTGTAAAATTTTTCCAGACATCAGTATTACACCTGAATACTACATTAATGAATGATCTTTAATTAACCTTGAATTTTAAATGTGCATTCTTCCTTTTAATAAACTGTATCATTTTATTTGTTTTGAGTAATGCAACTTAGGTCAAATCATTACTTCCATGCAACCAAAGATCCTGTTAGGTAGTTTTACCTGAAAATATAATAAGTTACATTATAAAAGTAATATAAACCCATTTCATTGCTATCTTAATAGTTGGAAATAATACTATGTCTCTTCAAAAAATACATTTAAATATTTTTCCATATGAGTAATTATTTTCCTTGCCTCTACAATTTAAACTGCTCATGTAATTGAGAGCCTTTTTCCTTTTGATTAACTAGATAATGCATATCACTGGAAAACTGCATGATTTTATGCATAGCAATGAACAAGTCAAAGATTTTCATAATTTATTATAACTAAATCTTCATACTATTCCACTATTTTCTCCCTCATCAAATTGTCTTAACTACCTCACCATAGAGAATGTACAACTTTAGATGCTATTTATCCATAGTCCTATTTATTAATCTATTTTTGTCTTTGTGTATTTGTGCTGCCAGAACAAAATACCTGATATTGGGTAATTTATACAACAGAAATTATTTCTGGAGGCTTCATAGTCCAAGATTATAGTGCCGGTATTTGATTTGATGAGAGTCTTTCTTGTTTCCTCTTCATGTAGCAGAAGGGCAAGTTAACCAAACACTGCATGAAGCCTCTTTTAAGTCCTAGAATTAAGTCCTAGAAGCTTTAATATGAAAAATAAATGTAGAGCCACATATTAGGTTGCTTAAAAATTAAATATCAGTAAGTATTATCCACAGGACATATAGTTCCTACCAATTTACCATACTAATCACTAAAAAATACTCATTAAAAAATGATCGTCATCACTTGAGTAAAAACTGCTTATCAGAAAAAGCCCCATCATTCAAATGTTGAGTTCCTCTTGTTTTTATAGTAGTAGTATGAGCCATCCTTCCCAAATGTAACGGGATTTGAATGTTTTACACTTTTCTAACAGAATACAAAGTTTGAATATTTTAAATGAGAAGGATCTCATATACTGACCTCTCATTTAGAACAGTTAAAGAAGTGAAGCAGCTTACGTACTGTATATGTAGTAGCAGAATGATTATTTGAAAGTACAGCTCAGTACTAAATTACAGGAAAGTTGGTAAAATTTTTAGTTAAAGTGTGCCTTTGAAAATCACTATTTCTATAGCAAGAAGATTGGAGAAAGGATATGAACTGATACCATTATCTTGATATCTGTCAGGGAGTTGGTTATTGACATGAAAAAAAAGACTACTCTGTCTTTCCAAATAATAGAAAGCTCTTTACATTTTAAAATGAAAGCCATTTAGTAGAAAGCCTTTGAAAAGCATGTTTCTATTAGTTTTAAATACAAATCAGAAAGTAATCATTCCAAATGGTGAGAGCAGCAGGAAGACATTTGTGAAACTGTAGTTTCTATTATAGGGATCTTGCCACTGGGCTACCATTAAAATTGAGTTTGCTTTGATTATAAATGACAGTTTTCCAGTATAAGCTTTGCAATTATTTTAATTGCACTAGATTTAAAAAAAATCACAAAATATTGCCCCTCACCCAATTCTTATTTGTTTTAGATTCTATTACTCTGATTTTTTTAAACTCAAGGCACATTAAAATGTGGAAACATTTTAACAATATACATAATTTTAATGCTATTTTTCCATCTTTTAAACAAAGTTTTATATTCCATTTAAACTTAAAAGTTTAAATGTGTACGACCCAAGGAAACTTGGAAACATTTATTGAAAAAATATTCACTAACAAATTTCAAAGGGCCCCTCTCCACTCATGCTCCTTTGCCTGTGGTGATGATATTATTCACCAGAAATGGAGTTCCACTGTGTGAGCTTCTGCTGTAGCCAAGGGCTTGAGGAGGAAGCCTAGGTTACAGCAGACTACAGATCCTGTGAGGCTGATTTGTAGTGGAGTGACTGTTCCCAGCACTATGACCGGGAAGCTTCCAGGCATTACTCCCGTGAGAATTATACTTGGCTGCCTTTTTTACTGAGGAGGCAATGCCAGTGGCCCTGTTCCATGTGAAGGATGGTATTTTTGTATTTATATTAAAAGAAGTGCCAGTGGATTATTACCCCTCCACTTATTGAGGAAATAAGCTGCATTCCCATGCAATCTGTAAGGGCAGCAATAGGCCTGTTGTGGGAACCCAGAAGTGCAACATCTGCCTATATTATCACCTGAGAGCAGTTTG